ATAATGCGGCATATTACGATTGTCTTGTCACACATCCGGTATGATCAGTGCGCAACATCGTTGTGAAATCCACATTTAGGGGAGAGGCTGGATAGGGAGGATTGGTTGCTCGAAAATGGAGCCGTAGGGGGGGGGGGGAGAAGGAACCAGTCCTCAACACCGCTCCATACTGAGGTTTTCGTAGAACTTGCGTTTTCGTAAAACTTGCTGAGTGTAGGATTGCTGTGAAAGAGATCATACCAAAGGAGAACATTCGAGTAGGGTCGTTTTCAGCAAAATCTCTCACAACGTGGTCGTTTGCCCTGCCCCCTCCTCTTCCTTTGGGAAATGGGGCGGAAAAGTACCATCAGTGACGGTGGCAGTCATGACTGTTTTGGAGATTTTGCAATTTTCATTGCTTGATAGTAGTTTCGCTGTTAACTTCTGTTTTTTACAGCCCTCCTTAACAGTTCTACTTTGAAAGATCGTTATCTCACGGAGTGCATGACGCTGTGCACGGCAGACAGACATATTTCAGCTGAGCGCACTCCAAAAAACTGTGGAAGACAAATGTTCCTCATAACATAAATCAATCATCGTACCCAGGTCTACCCCCTAAAACTCCGAGGACGAGGTGGTGGACGAGTTTTCTCTTTTTGCACACTTTGTTTTTTGAATGTTCAACACACAGATGTACGTATCCAAGGTTGAGGAGGGTCTAGCCTGCTTTTTTTTGCAGTTTAGTAGTTGGGTGGGGTAGGGGGTGTAGGGGCGCAACAGCGGGGCTTGCCTTGCAACGCTATAAAGCCTATTCTGGTCTTCTGCCATTTCCTATGAGAAAAAAAAGGAGAGAAACAATTTCATTTCTTTCAATCTATTGCATGCGGCACATGTGGTATACGGTGTTACCTTTTGAAAGTGTGTTCACCTTCAGTATCGAAAGGTGACAACGTCTTCGAGAAAACTGTCCTTCTACTGACTTTCCTCAGTTTTTGCTGTTTAAATAGCGCTAAATCTCTCCCATCCCCACCACCCAACAGCAGAGTGATGAGAAACTGGAGAACTTTCAGAGCCTAAAAATCCGCAAAAAAGGGAGGAAATCGTGAAAATTCGGGAGATGGTTTATAGGATGGGGAAGGATGGAGAAGGGGGTCGTATCATAAAGAGGGGATCGTAGGTCAGAACCTTCACAACCTGAGGCAGAGTAGTACCGTAGAAAAGTTCTCTGTTTCATGTGCCTTCCAACATAACAGAATTCAGGCCCTAATCCGGTTCGGCGAGATGGTACACAGAGACACGTCTTTCTTCCTTTCCCACTGCTTGCTCCTAACCAGGGCACATCATTGGTTGGGGATTTGGGTCGAGCCCGCACAACCCCCCCCTTTTTTTTGGGGAGGGGTACGACCCCCCCCTCTGTCCCTCCTCATCAAATCGAGCCGTTGAGCGGGAGGGAGTAAATATGTAGCACATGTGAATACGACCCCCCCCCCTTCCACCAACTCTCAGATTTTCCCCAACTTCTTGTCGTTTTTTTTCCAAAGTTTCCCGAAAACTTCCCTACTTTTTCCCAAAAATTTTGCTGTCGAGCGGGGGGCGGGGTACATAGTACGCATAAAACAGGAAAATTACGAAAAGTCAACCACCACTCCTAGAAGGCTAAAATACGACCCTCCCTCCCCTTCCAGCAATAAGCAAGTACGACCCCCCTTTTTTTTGCGAACGTCCGTGAAGCGAGAAAAACCAACTATCAAAATAAATTTCTCTCAGCCCAAATACGAGCCCCCCTCTCCTGGCGGCCAAATACGACTCCCTTGTCGAGGATTTCCCAACAACGATGCGCCCTGCTCCTGGGAGAGTGCAGACGACCAGAGTCGACGCGGTGTTGTTGGTACAAGACATCTGTCAACCGGATGCTTTCGCTGCGGGGATCGAGAGGTGTTTTTTCATCGCATCTTCAAGGCGAGCATTTAGAGGAAGGAAAATAAGGAGGGATGAGAGAAGGAAGGAAGAAACAGAAGGAAGGTGAAGGGAAAAAGGCAGGAGTAGGAATCCTTCGCGGTCGACAGATATCCTGAGACGTGTTTCGTAGAATGGACACGATCGTACTGTCCTCTTTCCCCGAATGCGCTATAGTCGGAACCCAAATTTTGAATAAATGGCGTGGAAACTGAGCCTGCAACGCTGACTCGAAGTATTTACTCCTTGGGCAAAACTAGAATCACCGTATTTCGCACGAATTATTCCACCGAATTGATCCATCTCACTGGAATGGTGCCTGGGAAATATTAGCGAGTGAGAACCTTGTTCGTTAGTGTTCTTTCAATTCAGTGTGCATGTGACATCGAATTGTCCCAATCGGTATGGAAAGTGCTCGGGTTTATGGTAATGAGAGTGCAAAACTAGCATGCGTAAGCATCATGATAGCGATGGCCGAATTTTACCAAACAAAACTGATTAGAGAGGGGATTCACGGCAGTTCAAATGTTGCCGATTTCAATACGTGATTAAATTTGATGAACTTACAGCAAAAGGGTTAGTGTTCAAGGCGCTTATCTCCGATATTTCGGGAGAGTTTCATTTTTCTACGCGTAATGGGTGTAGGCTTCTGTAACTGCACAACTTATTCTAATCAGCAACTAAATTCGATTCTGATCGATCTCTCTACATCCCTCCATTACTTGTGGGTCTTGTGTAGGGTTTTTGGTAGGTATTTCATGCTCTTCGAAGTTTGTACATAGATTTTATGGGCATTGTAATGCCATCTAGCTAGTACCTACAAAACTACAGCAGTTTTTGTGGTACTTCAGTCCATGTTTTTCACCTCCCTGAGGATGTTCATGCTCTTTGGTCAAAATGATGTCTTTCTGTCTCTGTCTTCTGTCTATCGCTGTTTTCTTAATGATTATTGGCATTATTATACTCAGGGAGGGGTTTACTACTAATCCCTGTCAACTTACCGGGCCAGCTTGTAATGACCTGCAAATCCTTGTGAAGCTAAGAAACGGTAGGGGTTTTATTTTCTCGTTATTTTATCGTAGTCTTTGAGTACATTCGACTAATAGTGCCGCAGAATTCAAAGTAACGATTGTGACCTGGAGGATGAGAATTTCCTGTCCAACTTTAAGCAAGGTAAAGGAGCTAAAAAGGCCACTGGATGAATTCCTGGGTGGTAAAAGGTAGTTTGCTCACTTTACAAAAGTGGCTCACCTACCTCGGAGTTGTTAACGTTTCTCGACCCTCTTCTATTAGGTTGGCGGGAAAGTTTTGTCACATTTTTTCAAAAGAATATTTATTACTTTATAGAGACATATTAGATCAAATGTAATCACCGTTGCGTTCTACTTCTTGCCAACGTCCAGGTAGCTTATGGATACCATCCCTCCAGAACTGAGCCTCACGCGAGGCAAAATACGATGCTAGCTCAACTTCGACCTGGGCACGGGTTTTGAACTTCTTCCCATCCAGGTAACGGGTTAGGTCGGAGAATAACCAGTAATCGGAAGGAGCGAGGTCTGGGCTGTACGGGGGATGAGGCAGAACTGTCCAGCCATATTGCACCAGCTCCGATTTGACACTTCGTGCTGTGTGCGGTCTGGCGTTGTCATGCTGGAAGTAGACTTTTCGGAGAGATCCCTCCCGTAAATCCACGATTTTCTTCAAATCTCTCAGCTGCTGCGTGTAGAGGTCAGCCGTGATGGCGACCCCCTCATCCAGTAGTTGCCAATGAACGGGACCCCGTACACCCCACCATACGGACAACAAAACCTTCTTCGGGTGCATCTCCTTCGGGGTCTCCTTGGGCTCTTCTCCAGGTCGAACCCACTGCGCTTTCCTGTGGAAGTTGTCGTAATAGATCCACTTCTCATCCCCAGTGATGAGATGGTCCAGCCACTTGTACCCTTTATGCATAGTCAGCAGGGTCAAACAAGCATCCACCCGGCGATCAAGGTCGGCAGGCTTGAGGCGGTGTGGCACAAAACGGCCCAGTTTTTTAGTTATTCCCAGCTTCTGCAATCCAGCTTCCACAGTGGAATGGTGAGTGTCAAGAGTGCTCGCCATATCCCTTGTGGATTGGAAGGGGTCCGATTTCAGTACGCGCCGTAGCTGCCTCATGTCCAGTTCTGATGGGCGTCCTGACCTGTCTTCGTCTTCAAGGCTGTAGTCCCCGGTCGTGAAGCGCTGGTACCACCGCAAGATCGTCCGATAACTGGGGGCATGCTCCTTATACACATCCCTTATTTTGGCTTCGGTAGCTGTCGCGTTCCGAAGTGGAAAAAAAGGATGATGTGGCGCAGGTGCTCACGGTCTGGTACGAATTCGTGCTCCATTCTGTAGAAGGGGAGTGAAAAGTGAAACGGGCACTACTATTAGGATCAGCCTTACCTTGGCTATTACTGCTGCTATTATCGATTGGACGCTATCGATCTGAGGACTGATATGATAGGTTTAAAAAATGTGACAAAACTTTCCCGCCAACCTAATAATTTGAGGACTTGTTGGCTCATTTCCAAACACTGTAGTCTCCCGAATGACAAATTTGTCCCAACGTGACACACAGCGCACTACAAGAACTTATAGATTTTTTCCCAGAATACCCAGAGAAACTAGCAAAAATCTCTTGCCGAATAGCGCTCGGTTATCAAAATACAACCTGATTCGCTGCGGATGATGGGGCGTTTTCGCGCGACTGCATTTGGCACGCCGCCAAATCCATTCTCCACCAGTTTTTCAGGCGGTTAAGTGACAACAACTGGTAAAACGGCTGACACGGAAGATATAATACAGTTATGTCGCTTGCCGAATGAAAAGAAAAGCAGGTTGGCGCCGCTCCAAACGCGAGAGGACACGCCCCATCATTCCGCAGCGGACCACACTATGCTCTGCCGGTGCATAGATCACTTTTTATTCTGTCAAGTTGAATTCGATGGTTTTGATTACGGAAAGGACTACTTCAAGTCTCAATAAAAGTTTTCAGAATCAGTCAGTGTTCCATGTGAAAAAGCAGAACCACGCTTTCAAAAATGGCTGCTGATATCATGGAGCATGACTATGAAAACCACTTCTGGGTAAGTTTTCGTCGTTATTTTTTATGAGTCTCAAACTATTACTGATTTTTCACCATCCTTAATTATATATTTTTTTCCGTGGCTACTATGACTTTTGCTGGTTTTCAGGGTGAAAAACATCTTGGATTTCATGTTTTGTACGAGAATATGAAACATGGTGAAGATACCGTAAATGAGATAGGGCAGTTTCTCAAGGAACGTCTTGCCATGGAAGAAGAGTACAGTAAGATGTTCAACAAGAGTATGAATCGAGTAAGTTGATTGCCCAATTCATTTTGGCAGATTGATCTTTCAACTGGTAGATTTGAAACCCTTCAATACCCATGTTTGCTCATGATAACAGACTAGTCTAGTACGGTCATTATCACTAAAGTCAGTTAGACATGCTAGCAGCGCATGGGTCTTGGCGCGGCGCCAGCCCATTTACTACTCATTGAACGCCCCAGGTTGCAATGATCTGTTTATAAGCAGGCTA